CTCTCTGTGCCCCGCAGCACGACGAGCTGCCCCACTACGGCGGCATGGAGGGGGTGGGCATCCCCACCACCATGTACGGGGACCCCCACGGCGCCCGCCCCATGCAGCCCGTCCACCACCTGAACCACGGGCCGCCGCTGCACTCGCACCAGTACCCGCACGCCGCCCACGCCAACGCCATGCCCCCCGCCATGGGCGCCTCCGTCAACGACGCCCTCAAGAGAGATAAAGATGCCATCTACGGGTAGGTGACCCTACGGGGAAGGGCTTTGCGCGCAACCTGCGCGGCGCGGAGCCGGGGAGGAGGAGGAGGATGGAGGAGAGGGAGGAGGATGGAGGGTGCGGAGTGCGGGCCGGGCTGTCCCTGCGCGGGATGGGGATGAAGGGTGGGATGGCTGCGCGGAAAAGGGCCGTGTTCTTCATTTTGATGGGGCTGCTTTTTAAAAGGGGGGGAGAGAGAGAGGGGTCGGGGGTCCCCCCTAGCACGGGGAGCCGCGGGGGCTCCGGAGAATAGGAGCCGGAGGTTGCAGGAGGGGCGGCAGGCATCACTGCACGCAGGAGCTGCAGGAGGAAAATAATATTCCCAGGGCAGAACCTGCGCCGGGTGGTAAATCTCTGCACGGAGTTTGGGAGCAAGGAGAGTTTGGAGCTCTTTGCCCGACTTCCCTCCTTGTTCGCCTCTCCCAGTGCTGAGAAGGAGAAAAACTCGGGAGCTGCTTCTCTCAGCTCTCTTCTATTTTATTTATTTTTGCTTTTACATTTTAATTTTTTAAAACTTCTTATCCGACAGCATTGAATGCTCCTCAGTGCAGCAACTTGCAGGGCAGTTTCTAGGCCGTTGTGATGGGAGCTGATGGGTTACGCTGGGAGGCAGATGCTTTTAAAATTAATCTGCCCGGCTTGAGTCTGAAGGGAAGTTTTAAGAGCCTTTTAAAATCGCTCTCTAAACAGTGAAGAGAAGGGGGGGAGAGAGGGGAAAAAAAAAGAAAAAGAAATCACATCGTTCGGTTTCTTTATCAGTTTATCAGAAATCTGCAGGGTTGGTTAAAACTCAGCGTGTACAGTACCCAAAAAAAGGAAAAGTATGAAGCCCTGGGGGGAAAAAAAAATAAAATAAATTAATTCCCTGTTATAAATATACATGTATACGTGTGTGTGTGCCCACGCTTATTTATTTATTTAAATTATTAAACGGCCGAGGGAGCCAGATGCACACGCAGCCTCTCTCCCGGGGAGGCTTTTAGAGCTGGGAGAGTCCAAAAGCACCTGGTTCCCCCCGCGGGTCGGGTCGGGTCGGGGCGGGGGGCGGGCAGCCCGGCTGGGCAGCGCCGGCCGGTGGACCGGATGATTTTTTCCCCCCCCCCCTTTCTGTCTCAGCAAGTCCTTCAGCAGAAAACGGGAATTAAAAGCATGAGAGGCAGAAGTGTACAACCAGAGATTTGCATTTTTTATTATTATTTTATTTTTTTTTTCCTAAAGACAAGGAAAGTTAATTCAAAATGGCTGCTGGAACCGACTTGGGTTTTATTCTTAGCTTGTCCTAAGGCTGTATGAACAATATCTGTGGCCAGATAAGGCCGGGGGGATGCGGGGCTCCCGGCCGGCTGGCTGCCGGGAAGGGGCCGGGAGGCGGCGGGGGGTGCCGGAGTCCCCTCGGTGGGTAATCCCCCCACCCCCCTCAAGCTGCTGGGAGACTAACTATTGTTGTCTTTGGTTTTTTTTTAAATTTCGTTATGATATGTGTTGTTTGGTTGTTGTTGTTGGTTTGTGTTGTTTTGTTTTTTTTTTTTACTTTTCCCCTCTGTGTGTGTGACTATTGTATTTTCTTTCAGACACCCCCTGTTCCCTCTTTTAGCACTGATTTTTGAGAAATGTGAATTAGCTACATGCACACCCAGGGAGCCCGGGGTAGCGGGAGGCGATGTTTGCTCCTCTGAGTCTTTCAATGAAGACATAGCAGTGTTCGCCAAACAGGTCAGCAAAACCGGGTTGAAACAGTAAAAGGAAAAAAAAAAAAGGAAAAAAAAAACCATAAGTGGGGGAGGGGGGGGGGGGAGACGGAAATCGTAACGAGAAAAACAAGTCTCTGCTGAGATAAAGATGCGCATTTTCCCCTCCCCCCTCTTACTGCGAGAGGCAAACCCCTCCCCAAACAAAACAAAACAACCCCCCCCAAAAAAAAAAACAACCCAGCAAAAAAATCCCCAAACTCCAACCAAAACAACAAAAATAAATCGGAAAATCTCGGCATTTACCACCCCCCTAAAGACAAGGAATACCGGAGTGGTCCGTCCTCCGGCGGGAGCTCCTCTGCCCGGCTCCGGGGGCCGGGGCCGGAGCTCGGCCCAGGGAGCTCCCGTAGGTATTTTTCGGTGTGTGTGTTTCACTTGTCCAAGTGTTTGGCTGCTGCGCTCAACCCAGCAGTCGGGGCTTTGCACGGAAGCTTACATAATGGACCCGACAGTGTAATGAAGCAAGAAATAATAACGTCTGCTTTTTCTGCTTCCATATTTCACATCTTTTTTATCATCATTTTTTTCCCCCTCTTCCTCCCCTTTCTTATGTTTAGATCCGAGCAGAGAAACCCCTCTTTTCCTCTAATCCTGAACTGGATAACTTGGTAAGAGTTAATAACACTTCTTCCTCTCCCCACCCCCACCCCACCACCCTCCCTTTCCTTCCCATTTATTTTTATTTTTTTTTAAACTTTATCTTCTGGAGAGGTGGTTTGTTGGTGCTAAATTGAAAATTTCTCACGTGGTGTTTCTTTTTTTTTTTTTAAAATTATTATTATGACAGTGGCGACTTTTATAATCACAAGTAAAGACAGTGTGGTAATTGCATGGAAGTAAAAAAAAAAACCAAAACCCCACACTAAAATCCCATAAGGATCTACATAAAGAAAGCCCCATCCAAAGGGGAGCTTGCGGCTGCCCAAGAGGAGCGGGGATTTCTCCCCGCTGGAGCCAGCCCCTCCACGCATCTCAGCAGCTCGATGGGAAACACACAGGATTGCTGTGGCGGGAGATGCACCATCCAGTAATTCCCAAAAAAATGAGGTCTTTTTCTCTCCCTTCTTTTTCCCTTTTCCCTCCCCCCCCCCTCTCCTTTCCTTGAGGATAAACAAACATTTTGTCTCCGCTGGAGGAGTCTTGCTCCACTCTTGCAAAGTGAGGAGCCAGCCATGGTGTTTAGAGGTGGTGTTGTGTTTTGTTTTTTTTTTAAAGAAATGTTTATGATCCATATAATTTAGTTGCTTCGTTGCAAGAGGGATTTTTTTTTTCCTTTTGGTTAACTCTAGATCGCTTCTCGTTAAACAGCGCACAAAGCCACTGCTATTAAGTTTTAGTGTTATTGCCATAAATCAAAACAACTTTTTATTTACTACTAGAGAAAAGTCAAGCTACAAAGTGTGGCAGGGGCGGCTGTGGGAAATATCCTCAAATCCAGGAGTGAGATAAATACTTGTGTTGTTTGTGTCTTTGCAGATGATTCAAGCCATACAAGTATTAAGGTTTCATCTGTTGGAATTAGAGAAGGTAATTTTTCTCTCTCTCTTTCTCTCTTTCTTCCTCCTCTGTTTCAGTACTGCTGAAGTTCAGGCTTCTGGTAAATTTGCATAAATGTCTTTCTTTCTGGTAATTAGTGTCAAGACCAATCTTGGCGTCCATTTCTCTTCGCAGTTTAATTACAATTTCAGCCTCTAAAACCGGGCTCTCAAACGCCCAGGCCTTGTGTTCATTGTAATACTTTGCTGGCTTTGTATAAATAGTTGCAGTTCTGTGGTGCTGCAGATGAGACTCGAAATGGTTGGTTCAGCCAAACCTCTGAAATTGTGATTTATTTTTTTGTAAAATAAATTATTTTTTTCTTGGTAGTGGTGGTGGGGAAGAGACTTTGGTTACAGTTAGTTGGGATGGGAGATGGATTTATTTGATTTTTTTTTTCGAGAGCCATCTGCAGGTCAGGCTCAGGGCAGGGATTGTCCTATAACATTTTGCAGAGACAAAGCAGAGTTGATAGTTGTGTCTGTCTCTTGTTCCTGGGAATATTGTACACCTCCGAGCAGAAGAAAGAGATTGCAGCCTAAATGCAGGGTTTTTTGCTGGCTATTTTAGAAATCTTAGGAGGGAGAATGCTAATTTCTAAGAAGGCGGTGTCATCCGAGCTCACATTAAATTGGAAGTGCACTCTGGTTTCCTGAGAATTTTTTACGTGTCATTGATAGCTGGCCTAGAAGAGAATTCCCTTTCTCCTAAAAATAAACATTTTGAGAGGTTTTTAAATAGTTGAAAAGTTTCTCGGGAGCCTCAGCCACTTTATCTAACCATAATGGCAGGTTGTTCTCGCTCTACCCGAAATGTGTTAAAATCTGCCCATTAATAGAGGCGGCTCAGGTAGGAGTCTTATCAGAGTGACTGGGGATTTCAGGGCTCGGGTGCCTGTAACGTATTTCAGCCCCTTTTTTTTAAAAAAAATAAAAATTAGAAAATATTTTTTTCTGTCCACGTACCCCTTTGGAAAGGGTTTATGATGAAATAACTGGATGAAATTAAATAGTTTACCTTAAATGTCACCCATGCAGGTCACCTCTCTAATGGCCACAGCTCCGGGAGCAGATGAATTTAACACGGGTGTTGAATATGTTGTAGCCTGTGAATCATCTTGTCACTGTCAATTTTCTGGGATATCTCTATTTTGCGAGAAAAGAAAGTTATTCCTAATTCTGGATGCGTCTAGAGGTCTCGGGGGATAATTGCAGTGTGTTTCCCCTATTTAGGACTTTTGATGTCACAGGGGTGAAGGGGGGAGACTGGTTGCACTTGTCAATTTTACTTACGTATTCCTGATTATATTTTCTTCCTTTTTCCCCTCCTTCTTTTTCCTTTTTTTTTTTTTTTCCTGTTGCTTTTTTTTTTTTTTTATAACCTCTGTCATAATGTAGGTACACGAATTATGTGACAATTTCTGCCACCGGTATATTAGCTGTTTGAAAGGAAAAATGCCTATCGATTTGGTCATAGACGATAGAGAGGGCGGATCAAAATCGGACAGTGAAGACATAACAAGATCAGCAAATCTAACAGATCAGGTATGATCTCGCCAACGCCGCACACGCTAAAATTTGTATGCAGATCGCTCGCTGGGTCACTACGCCTCCTTTTATTATTTGCATATGATTAAGTCCCTTTTAGATAAATTTCCATCGAAATGAAAATTTTTGAATAATGTGGCTATTATTGCTTCATTAAGGCTTGCTCCCGGATTCGACCTGGCGAGATGAGCTTGTAAAAGCATCGCCTGCAAACTCGACCTGTTTCTTGTCGCTTTTAATTTTTGTCTTTATTTTATTTACCCTTTACAATAATTGAAGTGGGAGCTGTGAATCGCTGGCATCTTGGTGGCTTAAGAAGGGAAGGGCTGGAGCCGTTTCCCAAAATAATAATAAAATCTGAGATAGGTGGTCCAGGGAAGACAGAGAGGGTTTGAAATCTAGCGAATGCTGGCTATTTTCTTCCCGTCTCTACGGTTCATTAGTCTGTCTTGTCAGTTTTCCTTGGCCGAACGCTTTTAGACTTCAGTGAACATTGCTTTGTGCACGCCTGCCTGCTGCAAACGCGCCCATTTTATTTTACTTAATAGGGGGAAAAAAAAAAAAAAAAGAGAGAGAAAATAAAACGGGACCCAGGTTTTAAATGATTTTCCTTGATCTTTCGAGTTTTCAACCCCTCTCTTAAAAACCCAGACCAAAAAGAAAACAACAAAATATCCAAACCCAAGCCAGCAAAGCCTTGCGTGGCTTTGTCGGTGTCCAGGTTTTGTCTGGGATGGCTCGAACCTTAGTGCCGGCCGTAGCCGATGTGGGAAGTAGAAGATGCCTTGGGAAAGCTGGCTTTTCCCTCTCCCCTCCTCCTGTCTGTCCCCTTTGCTGGGCTGAGGTCGGGATTCTTGTCTTTTAATTGGAGTGGCTGGGGCTAATTCAGAAGGTGCCCAGAGCTAAATTAAGCTTCTAGATGATGGAAGTGGCTGAGATCTGGGGGGGGGGGGGGGTTTTTTCTTTTTCCTTTTTTTTTTCCCCCCTCCCTCCCCACCTCCCTTCCCGAATTGGGCAAAAGTGTCGGGCTTTCCCTGTCGGCTCCCTCTCTACGGAGGGGCAGCAGCGCCTTGGTGCTTTGGACCCTGAACACACAGACACACAAAACGCCGACTAAAAACCCCCAAGTTATTTCTTCTTTATGATCAGCTTCGTAAATACAGTCTTAGGAGCAATCAGCTCCAGACTCTGGAGGTTTCCTTTTGTTCAAGCAAGGCGCAGTCAAGCAGACAGGAGTTTCCTCAGCCGCTTTGCCATTATCACCAGCACTGTCACCCAGGAATTATTTTATAGGTTACCGACATCGAGGTGTGTTGCATCGCAGCGTGGGCAGTACCTTAAATATTTTCTTCCCTCTGCTGTGGGGCTGCTGGTAGTGCCGTGACAGGGGGAGGCAGGCTTTGGAGGAAGGCGTGAACTTTATTTTTTATATAAATAATAAGGGGTTTAGGTGCCCATACGTGGGGTTGTTGGGGTGAGCTGGGCTTTTTTTCCCCCGCAGTTTTGCTGCGAAGGGTAAAAGGCTTTGAGGAGCGGCAGGGAGGTGACCGGCAGGCCGGGGAAGATGCTCCCGGGTCCGGGGAAGATGCTCGCGGGGGGTGGCGGTGCCGGGCAGTGCCTGAAAGCGAGGGGAGCCCTACAGCGAGGGGTCTAGCTGAGAGGAGCTCCACTAGCTGCTGTTGAATAAAAATTGTAATCCAACAAGTCTCACTAGAAAATGGGTTTCTAAAAGCTCTGGAGTGCTGGGTACATAAAGCTATTTGAGCAAATTACAAGAATTGCTCAGGGGCACGAATGAAATCAACACTTTAATTGCCTCCAAAATGAAGATTTATACCCCATTTTCCCAAGGAATCATTATTTTATTAAAGTGAAAGCTAAAGAAATGAAGCTATAGTTTTGGGGTTGTCGGGGGGAGAGGGTCGTCTTTGTGTGTGTGTCCCCCTCTTTTTTCTTTTTTTCTTTTTTTCTTTTTTTTTTTTCTTTTC